GTTAATTCGCTAACAATTAAAGAGGATCAGACGATTGTGTAAGGGACGAAACCTCTTGAGACAAAATCCCAAAAAGGGGTGTTCTTTTTATTGGCGATGAACTTTACAATTGGAAACGGAAAACAACGTGCCTCCAAGGGGCGCAAGCACACGAGTTACAAAAAAGGAAATGTTTAAGTCTAAAAGCTAAAGGAATGAAAATTACATATTATCTGTTCGAGAGTTTTGGATTCGGTGCTTGCTTCTAAGTTCTTTCTCCCTTTTATACTTCATAGGCGATCCCTTTGTGATTAACTGCTCTAAAAAACTGCTTGATCGCCCAATAACTACCCACTTTCTTTGTAATGGCCACTTTGTCATGCAACTGTCTTTTAACTGCTGCCATTATCTTGCATCGTTCAACCGCTTTCGATTGAACCCCTTGAGTCGTGGAACGTGATGAAATTACTTTAGCAACTACCTCAATAACTGCATCATAATGCGTTATGTTTGTTGATACCTTGGGCGACTTGAAGATTTGGCGAGACTTTGGACGACCGTATGCCACTCTATTCGTTCAGACTCTGAGCGACTTGCAAACTTGGGCGATGGCGTTACCGCACTATTAGGCCCCTTATTTGGGCATTCACCTTGATTCGTTCAATTGGATTTCGTTCTTTGGGCTATCTGATTTGGGGACCCTCCAATTGGACTTTATTCTCTGGGCTGTTCGATTTGGGCTGAATTTTTATGTGTCAACAGAAACTAAAAGAGAATCTCCATGGATTATTTCTGCTTAATATTTTGCTTTGTTTGAAAACTTTCTTCTAGATTTAAGTTGATGTATGTATTTATGCAAGGTTTTATATACCTTTATTTGTAATGATATCAACCTTTAACTAAGTTAATGATGCAAGAGCTTACCTACTATTTTGGCTTAGTATTTTACTGGCATTTAATACATAAAGGCAGAATCATCCCATAATCTCCCAAGTAATTAAAAGTCTGCCAATATTTGCTGTGACAGAAATCGAACACCCAATTTACAATGTTCAAAAGAAGTCCATTTCATTGATACCACTAATCAAAAGGCATGCATCCAATTTACAAAGTTCATTTCCATGTACAGCCATCAATGAACTAATTATACCACTACAAAATATATTAGAGGACATCCAATAAACAATCTAACAAAAGCACGAGGATTCCATTGACAAAAAGGCCACCATGGAGATGTCACTCCATTAACAAAAAGGCCACCATGGCTATTTCAATCTCAGCAATGTGTTGCAACTCATCGACCAAAAGTAGCGGCTGGTCCATATTCTAATATCCTTGAAGGCGATTCCCTTGCAACCGTAGGCGTAGGCATGAATTGCATTTGATTTTCTTCCCTCCGGCCTTGGCTCAATGTTCCCTTTCCTCTTGTGGCAACCAATTTACCCTGCCAAACCGAACTATAATTATTAATATCGGCCAAACACAATTATTAAATGACACGATGAAATGCAACTAGTTCTTGTCTTACTTGTTCATTTACCAATACATTGCAATTGTTTTCAACTGGTTGTATTTCAGCATCTATCCAATCCTACGATAAGATAGAAATTAACAATATGACATTAGTCATAATGAATCTCAGACTTAAATGCAAAAACAAAATGGTACACTTACATCAATTGGAGTATTTGCACTGGAATGATATCGCTTATTATATCCCTTCAATCCGCATTGCGAGCACGTCATCGTCACAGCCCCCTTCTTCTTCACATATGCTTTTCCTTTCATGCACACAACCATTTCTTCTGCCTGCTTTCGCCTCTTTTTTTGTTTTTTCCCCTACGGGACACGGTCCAATTGGGGGGGGGGGGAAATTGTAGGAGCATATACTTCAGGCCACAATAATCTTCCATTAATTGGGTTCACAATATTATTGTAGCATCCCATGTATGTCTCAATACTATAACAGTTGTCAACGAAATCTTCGGGTTGATTCCTGCACTCGCGTATCACGGCAATGGCGTGCATACACGGTATACCTGTGATATCCCATTTCCTACACGCACATGTTCGTTCCTGAAGATCAATGACAAATGTCCCATAACTACATTCTACTTGCCACCTCGGCCCCCCAGAGAAGTGCAAAATACATTCTCTTGACATATCATTTGTCTAATCCAACTTTTTCTGAATCTTTGGACACAAACGACCTTGGCATCCTACCATCTTATCTCACCTTTTCTGTATCCTTGTCATGAAAGTCATATGCACTGATGTAAGCATATTCAGTATCAACTTTTCTCTATCCTCTAACAATGTCTTATTGAACACTTCGCATTCATTGTTAAGTACCATGTCGCTCTTCGAATGCACCGAAAAATGTGACTGACTCCACTCCCGAAGGTACCTTTGTATCAACCAATCATATGCAGCAGTACTCACATCATGAAGTTTTTGCATCCACATTTTAAATTCGGGGACGGTTGTGGACTTTGCCGCGCGCCAAAGATAATCCTTAAGAATTTTGCTCTTGAATCCTGCATTGAAGAAGTTTGTGTACAGGTGTCGTACACAAAATCGATGTTCTGCTTCCGGGTACAATTCATCACATACGATCTGAAGCCCCTTTTGCTTATCAGTCATTAGTGTCCACCCGCGTCCGTTTTCCATTTGAATATCCTTGGCTAGATACTTCATGAACCATCTCCACGCTTCCGTATTCTCCTTTTCGACAACGGCATATGCCACTGGGTAAATACAATTACTAGCATCCTGTCCAACTGCTGTTAACATAATACCACCAAAACAACCCCGCAAATGGCACCCATCAACACCAATCACTTTCCTACAACCATCCCTAAACCCAGCTTTGCAGGCATTAAAGCATATATACATTCCCTTGAATACTTGCTCATTAAGTGTGATGAATATAGAAGATCCTGGGTTTGTTCTATGAACTTCCGCTGCGTATCTCCTTAATAGGCCAAATTGCTCCTGGAGGGTACCAAATAGGACCTCCTTCGCATATTGCCTCATCCTACAAGCAACATTTCTACTTATTTCCCTCTTCAAATCATTCCTCACAGTCGCTAAAATGGACTTTGTCTTCCAATCAGGATCTGCTTTAAATTGTTCAATATATCGATGAGTCAGGAAAATGTAGTTGCAATGTCTATTGTATTGACTCCGTGTGCATGTGTGTTCGGGGGTGTAAGACTTCACTTGCACCGTCTCAGTCTTGTTCAACTTCGAAGCCCAAATCCTCCAAGAGCACCCTGATTTGCAAACTCCTTGAGCTCTTTTCCTATCATTACACCTCAACTTCACATTATATCCGTTCAGAGCACCATAACTTCTCACCGCGCATCTAAACTCTTGCATTGATCGAAATAGTTGTCCGACCTCTAACTTTGGATTTCTCATATCCGTCTCAACAAAGAATTCAGGGAAGCGATAACCAACCTCTTCATCCAATGAACATTCCAAATTTAGCTCTTCAGAGGATGGATACTCCAAGTCATCAAATGTGTTAACCTCATCCATCTCCCCTCGAAGCACTACTTCTTCACCTTGTCCCACTGTGTTAATATCTATACCAATTTCAATACCGTCTATCACATTAAGATTGTACAGCATATCGTCTTCCTCAAAGGCCATATCAATATCGGATTGAGAGAAATCAGAATCTTCCGCACCACTTGTAAAAATTCGCGCAAAAAATAAAAAAAAATTAAATTAAACTAAATATCTTTCTTCCACCTGCAATGTGATCATTAAGCCAGCTGCTATTTGTGTGGTAATGAAATGAAGTCTTAGTTAGCGTGTTCAATCTAAACGACACTCTCATTAAGTCGAAATAGCGTATTAAACACAAGTTGGATGACATGATGCTAAAATTGAAAAACGGTACTTACTTTCACTTTGATCTCCCTCCATGCGTGCAAGTGAAACGGCTTCAGGCCTCGCTGGGCTACGAAGAGGAAGAAGAACAATTGCCTGCAGGGGGAAGAAAACGTTGGAGGGCTCGAGTTAGGGCAGGGGTTGGGGATTTTGAAGTTTTTTGAGTGAAGGATCGTGTTTTTCAGCCTGAAATCGCGTCCATGTTGGCCGAGTTTGAAGTCGTCGATTGCCACTTCAATTGCCGTGAAGCCACGTCGGACGATTCCAAACGGCTGGGACGCCGGGTGATGGACGGGGGGTGGGTTTGGGAGTTTGGTGACCCTCCAGCCGCAATAGTGAGTTCAGTGACCACAATGTTACAAAGAGAGAAGTTTGGTGACTGTCCAAACTTTTTACTCAGATGTAGCTGGAGGGGGAGAATTGATATGTGCAGAACAATTGTTGACTTTCGGCCACAATTGTTTACTTATTGAAAAAGACTCCACCATACAAGTAAAAAATTTGAATTTTAGTTCTCTTATATCTCACCCGCAAAATGCACAGGAAGGAAGTAATCACATATTTGAATTTGGCCATCAATTAAACTAACAATTTTTGTTGAAATTGTTTTATGCAAGTGGCAAAAGTTTTCAATAAGAAAGTGTTTGGTGGATATTAAAATTAGATTTTTTAATAGACTGTGATGTGACAGAAGTTTATGATTGCAAAGTTGTGGAAAGTTACGAAAAATATGGTTAATATTGATTGTTTGACTTTAATTTAAATTTTATCCAAACCAAACTGACTCTTAATCAGGTATGTATTGCTGAGAAGAAATACATCTATAAAGGCGCTCTTTGTTCAAATTGGAATTGGCCAAAACCCTAATAAAAACGTCCAATTTCCTCGTTTCATTTGCTAATTCAGTCGATTATTATTATTGCTATCAATTTATCATTCATTTGAAAAGAGGATAGATAAATCTATGGCGCACCTTCCTATTATCCAATTTGAAGAGAAAATCGTAGAAACAGTGGAAAATAACCCAGTGGTAGTAATAATTGGAGAGACTGGTTCAGGAAAAAGTACTCAGCTTTCTCAAATTCTTCACCGAAGAGGTTTCACAAAGTCCGGAACAATAGCCGTCACTCAGCCCCGCCGTGTCGCTGCGGTTTCAGTCTCTAGGTAATTTTCACTTCCATTGAAATCTTAATTTAAAGGCTTTATGGCTGAATGTACTTTGGTATTCAGGAAGATGAAATTTTACTTCTTTCTGGCTTCATGAATATTTAGTTGATATGGAGATGCTTGTCGACGGAAGTTTAGTTCGGTCGGCTTGAAGATAACGAGCTTTTAGTTAAGCATTGTTATCAAGGTTAAAGGAGAGGTCTTGACTGATCTGTAACTGAATATCTGGTGCCCAAAGCTGTGGGGACACTGCTGTTATGATAATTTATTAGTAAATAAGTTCGCTTTCTCGGTACAAAAACAAGTTATGATTAGAGTGAAAACGGTTAAGGTTTATTGGCGATATAATATAGAACGCGTGAGATTTGCTTGTATATTAGAGCTCCCTGCAGTGACCATTATCAAGAATTGCATTTGGGAACCTTTCTCGTTCTGCATTTTTGAGCTATAGGTTGTTAAGACTATTGAACCTCTCTCCCTAATATCCAAATCCCACCCCCAACCCCATACCCACCAAACCACCACCCATTCACCACCGACCTTGGACGATGCCGGCGACGGAAATATCGCGTCACCCGGCAAACCCTTGGGGACCAGCCTCAAGCCAAGCCCTAGGTGGTAACCCTAGCACGCCGCTCAAACAGTCAATCGGACCGGAGACAAGACAACTTGGGATGGCATAGGGGCTATGGGAGACAGCAAAACTGGTGGAAGAAACACTATTATGGACAGTGAAGTGAATCAGACTGTAGCCCTAACTCAGATTCGGCCGGTTCCAACCCCTTTCCAGGCAAACGCGCCTGACCGACGGGCTGTGGAGGCGATTCCGATCACGTAGGTAGGGCGGCGAGATGCACATGCCGTCGGAACGGCGCGTCTGCCGGCGTGTGCACGCGTCGCTACCGAAAAACCTGGAAATTCTCCAGAATGCTCCCAGACCACCCACGATGCCTATTCCATCGTCAAATGTGCCATTTGTACACAATCGGGGGAGAAAGTTAATGGATGGAGACGGCATGGTATTCAACTATCGTTTTTGAGTGGAGGCGAAGGAGTTTGCAGTTATGTTAACAATCTCGGTGATGTTAGGATGATTGAGTGGGGCTTGAAGTTATCTAATGCAATATGCATGGGAAGATTCGGCGCACTTTAGATGGTGAATATAGTGGACAAGTTGGGGGTAACTAGTAGGTTGGAGGACTTCGTCTCGAAGTTCAATGAGTCATCAAGAGCTTTCTTGGCACAATGTTGTGCGAACAGTTGTGGAAGGTACTTGACGATAGCACAGTATGGTGATAGGCGTCGGAAGGGAGTTGTGATGGTGCAGGAAGGCACGAATGGAGAAGGATGGGCATCGATCTTGCGGGTGTTACAGGCAGTAGTTGATTCATTTGTTGCTAGAGATAAGGCTAAACGTCGAACAGTGAATGATCGAAATCGACAAGGGATGAGCTATGCCAAAGTAACGGCGACCACACAAGCCCCGCAGATCGGTGATCGAAGGGTGCTAAGGAGAGAGGAGAAGGTTGCTACCGTGAGTGAAGATAAAGGTAATTGTATGATGCCCAAGTCCAAGGCAGCATACGCAGAAGGTTCAATTGATGGTTTAGTGAATACCGTCGAAATAAGGGCTTATGTCCAGTCATTGAAAGGTGAGTTGGATGAACTACTTCGGCTCGTAGGATGTGGATTTGTAACGGGTCCCAAGATGCTTTGTCACAAGTGTGGTTTGGCCGTGGATGAAGAACTCTTGACACCTAAGAGGCCATCGGCAAAAGCAGGCCTTACTAAAGATATGGAGAATAACAACTCCGGATCTGAAGTAGATGAGGAGGCGAGACCTTGGTCTAACGGAGGGAAGCTGAAGATGGTGAATTTGGAGTCGGAGACACATGGAATGATGGACACGACATCGTCGGCTGATGGACCATTACCAGTTGAGCAAGAGACGGGACATGTTTTGGCAGAGGGATTAGTCTGTACAGTACTGAAAGAACACAAGGCTGCAGGTTCGAGATCCATGGTAGGGAACACATATAACAGAAGGCATTTTAAGCCCCTAAAAGAAAAGGAAATAGAGACCGACAAAGCTCTGGTGTTGTGGGTGGATGATGCTAAGCAAGGAGGCACAGATATGGATATCGAGCTAGTGGAGGAAGGAGAGGGATATTCATGTGATCCCTCGGAGTTTCGCCTAGCAGAGGACACAATGAAAGCAAATGCGATCGACGATGAACCCCCACCTTCGAATTGGGTCCTTCAAAAAATTCCGGATTTTAGTAAGATGGTTTGTGTGTCATACGATGGATATGAAAGTAGATTTCTGCTAGGGATGGGCGCGGGTCGGTTCGGCTCGGTTTTCTTTAGAACCGAACCGAACTAAAATTTTCGAGTATTTAGTAAATGAAACCGTCGGGTCCAAATATAATTATGGAACTGTTCAGGTTCAGTTCTGTATTATAATTAAATTTTTTAACATTTATAACAATATTATATAAATACAACTAATGATATATTTAATGGTTTTGGAATGTCATAGACTAGTAGACTTCCTTGTTCAAATGATCGCTACGGTCAAAGTTTCGGTTGGCAGAGGTCGCAATTTCGATCGGAGGTCACAGCATCGGCCGATGATTGTATAGGTTTTTAAATGTCAGCGAGACTGCGAGAGTGAGTGCGGGAGTCGAGACAACGTTATGCACTTTAGTGTAGGTGTTTAGAGTTATTTAATGGATTGGATCTTGTTGGGCTAAGAAATGAAACAATAAAATGGATAATGGGGAAAAAAATTAAAAAATTAGAAATGAAACAAGTTATTGGGCCAAAAATTTGGATTTAGAAATTGTTAATTTGTTTAAAAAAATTAAAATTAAAATAATTTGATTTACTCAATATAAAAAAAATAGAAATATTCGGTTCTTATTCAATTTTTGGGTTCTTGATCTAGAATCGAGAACCGAACCGTACCCGTCGGTTCTCAATTCAGATACCCGTTCGGGTATTTAATTTGACAAGAACTATCAGGTTCGGGTCAATTCGGTTCGGGTTCGGTTCGGTTCGGTTCGGGAGATTTGCCCAGCCTTAATTTCTGCAATTATTTGAGGAATTGGAAGGTAGTAGGGGACAGAGTATGAATATACAAGGGGCTAAAGTAAGAAGAAAGGGAGATCGTGAACTTAAGCGGCTTGAGTGGTTAGTAAATTACGATGCCAAGGGTGTTGAGTCAAAGAAAGGATTACTTAGGAGGGATGACAGAGCGTCTAAATGATCCAAAAAATAATCAGTTGGAATGTGAAGGGGCTTAATGAAGTGGGAAAAAGGTTAGGTATACGAAATTTGTTAGGGGGATAGACGGCAAACCTTGTTTGCTTACAAGAAACGAAGTAGGAGTTCATCTTGAGGGTGGTTGTTAGGAGTTTAGGGGGGGACAACATGTCGGGTATCAATATATGGGGTCATCAGGGGCTTTTGGAGGTGTGTTAGTCATGTGAGACACTAGAGTTCTTGAAATGGAGGAGGTCAGTGAAGGACTATTCTCTTTATCGCTTTCGTTCAAAAATACAGGGGATGGATTCCGTTGGATGTTTACAGGAGTTTACGGTCTTAATGTTGATGAGAGTAGAAGTGGATTGTGGGATGAGTTGGCCGGGAAGATGGCTTTGTGGAACATTCCAACGTGCATTGGAGGTGATTTTAATGTGGTTCGGTTTCCTAAGAGAGGTCTAGTGGCGGGAGATTAACAGGGACAATGAAGGATTTATCAGATTTTATAAGGGAAAATATGTTGATTGACATGCCTTTGATTGGAGGAGACTTCACATGGTCATCTAATCGGGATCAACTTGTGTTATCTCGAATAGATTGCTTCTTGATTAGTGGGGAGTGGGAGGCCAAATATCCAGAGGTCACCCAAAGGAGATTGGGGATGATGTATTCTGAACATTTCCCTATTTTGTTATCGAGGGATGTGAGGTGTAGTGGAAGAAGGCCTTTTAGATTTTAGAAGATGTAGCTTAAACTAGATGACTTTAAGGATCGAGTTAGGGATTGGTGGACATCTTATGAATTCATTGGGTCTCCCAGTTATGTTTTGGATCAAAAATTAAAAGCATTGAAGAGGGATCTCAAGAGGTGGAATGTGGAGGTGGTGGGTGATGTTTATTGGCGTAAAAATCAATGTACCCTAGAAATTGAAGAACTGGATAGGCGCGAGGAGGGTCTAGGATTGGATGGGGAGGATAGGGAGAGACGTGGAGTACTAAGGGGAGAGTTGGAGAGACTGGTGGAGATGGAGGAGTTTGCCAGGCGCCAAAAATCTAGGATTACATGGTTGAAATAGGGGGACAAATGCACCAAATTCTTTCATAAAGTTGCTAATTCTAACAGGCGCAACAACTCTATCACCCTATTGGAGGTTGATGGGATTACTTATGAGGATGCGCAGGATATTGGGAATCAGATGGTGAGATTCTATCAAAATCTCTATCGGGAAGAGTTTGACTAGAGACCAAAGGTGGATGGACTATACTTTTCATCTATCACGGAGGAGGATGCCAGCCAGTTAGAGAGACCATTTGTAGAAGATGAAATCAAGGATGTGGTTTTCAGTATGAATGAAGATAAGGCACCAGAACCGGATGGCTTCTCGTTCGCATTTTATAAGGCTTGTTGGGAGATGGTGGGACCGGACATTATAGATGTTATCACTCACCAGAACCGGATGGCTTCTCGTTCGCATTTTATAAGGCTTGTTGGGAGATGGTGGGACCGGACATTATAGATGTTATCACTTATTTTTTTGAGTATAGCAGGTTCCTTTGAAGTTCTAATGCTACATTTATTGTTCTGATTCCAAAGAAATCTGGAGCAGTTGACATTAAGGATTTTCGCCCTAATAGTTTAGTTAGTGGGATGTACAAGATTGTCGCGAAGATCCTGGCGAATAGATTGAAGGAGGTGCTGGGGAAAGTGGTAACTAAGACTCGGAATGCTTTTGTTAAAGAAAGACAGATTTTGGATTCTGTGCTTATAGCGAATGAATGCGTCGACTCTCGATTGCGTCTGGGGGTGCCAGGATTGTTATGTAAACTTGATATTCAGAAGGCTTATGATCACGTAAACTGGGGGGTTCCTTCTGTACATGCTTGAGCGATGTGGCTTTGGGGAAAAGTGGTGCAAGTGGATTCAATTTTGCATCTCCACCGTTTCATTCTCCGTTTTGGTCAATGGCAACCCGAAGGGTCATTTTCGAAGTAGTAGAGGTTTGAGGCAAGGGGATCCCCTGTCTTCGTTGCTGTTTGTGATTGTTATGGAGGCAATTGGTAAGATGCTTGAGAGAGCTGCGGAAGAAGGATTGTTAAGGGGCTTTACGGTTGGACATTTACAGGTTTCCCATTTGCTATTTGCAGGTGATACACTGATCCTCTGCGATGTAGATAATGAGTAGTTTAGGAACTTGCGCCGTCTACTTTTATGTTTTGGAGCGGTGTCGGGATTGAAGATTAATTTAGGGAAATCCGAGGTCATTTTAGTGGGAGAGGTTGCTAACGTGGATGAGTTGGCTAGAGGTGGGCGCGGGTCGGTTCGGTTCGGTTCTAAAGAGAACCAAACTGAACCATAATTTTCAGGTACCTAGTAAATGGAACCGTCGGGTCCAAATATAATTATGGAACCGTTCGGGTTCAGTTCCCTTTGGTTCGGTTCGATTTTGTTCAGTTCCGTACTATAATTAAATTTTTTTAACATTTATAACTACTCTATATAAATACAACTAATGACACATTCAACCTTTTTCAAATGATCGCTACGGTCAAAGCTTTGGTCGGCAGAGGTCACAGCGTCGTCTGACGATCGTATAAGTTTTTGAATGGGGGGCCTTGGGGTGAGGAGCCTTGTTCTATTTAATAAGGCTTTATTGGCCAAGTGGTTGTGGCGATTTGGAGTGGAGAGGGAGAGTCTTTGGAGACAAATCATAGGATCGAAGTTTGGTGTGATGGAGGAGGGTTGCTCGATCGAGGGTCGTGAATCTTATGGGGTGAGTTTGTGGAAGTATATCCGATGAGGATGGAATGACTTTCGAGAGAAATTGACTTATGTGACGAGGAATGACAATAGTATCAAATTTTGGGATGATTGTTGGTATGGAGATCATCCGCTAAAGGCACAGTTTCCTTCTTTGCATCGGATTGCCTTGGAGCCTACTGCTATGTTGAATGATGTCCTAGTCATACATAATGGAAATTGTAGCTGGAATATTGTCTTTGAGAGGGGTTTGCAGGATTGGGAATTGAATGATTATGCACTGTTTTTGACCTCCTTACATGAGGTGCATATTCAAGTAGGAGAAGATGATAGGAGCAATGGAAGCTGGCACCGGATGATATTTTCATAGTTTGCACTTATTTTAGATCCATATTGGGATCGACGGAGAGTTCATTTTCTTGGAAGATGGTGTGGCAATGTAAACTGCCACCGCGGGTGGCTTTCTTGTTATGGACGTTGTGAGGGGGCAAACATTAATGGTGGATAATCTTCGTAGAAAAGGTTTTTACGTTACCGAATGGTGTTATATGTGTAAGAGAGATGGAGAAACAAATGACCATTTATTCTTCCATTGTGAAGGTGTCCGGTGGTTGTGGAACACTATTCTAGCTTCCTAATATATGGATTGGGTGATGCCTAAGCGTATGGAGGGTGTGTTGCGGGCATGGAGGAGAAAGTTTCGAGATAAGGATAGTAGGCTTGCGTGGAACCTTATTCCGGGATGCATTGTATGGTGTGTATAGAAAGAAAGGAATAGCCGTTGTTTCGAAGACCAAGCAATAACAACTGAGCAAATTAGAGAATGATTCTATATAACTTTGTATACTTGGTTTAAGGCTGCAGCCACAAATTATGTAGAAAGGCTACCAAACTTTATGTCGTTTCTTTCATGTTTAAATTGATAATACACCCCCATGTATTATCTATTAATAAAATTACTTAATTACTTATAAAAAAAAAAAAAAAATTTATTTTATCATATGAGCACGAACTCTGTGACGCAAACTCACATATGCGAGAAACAAGACAATCAGATATATGCAATTACATGAGTGGTATTTCTGCATTCTTTACAGCATTATGTATTGTCTATAATGGTCTTGGTGTAATGAGTTTATGTGCGTGCATAGATAGCTTGACATTTGTGAGATTTTATGCCCTTGGACCAAATTTCTTGGGAATTTTCTCTTTAAAGAAGTATGTATGTTTCTGATCCTTTTTCCTTTGTTGTAATGGATAGGCGTGTTGCGCAGGAGCTTGGTGTTAGGCTCGGGGAGGAAGTTGGTTATGCCATACGATTTGAAGACAGAACCTCAGAGAAGACACTTATTAAGTAACGTTTTTCTCAAATACTAAAAGTTGGAAGTGATAATTTATAGTTTACATTCTTTTACTTGTGATAATGGATAGGTCGTTGGCTGTGCAGATACCTCACTGATGGAGTTCTCCTTCGTGAAAGTCTTTCTAACCCGGAGCTGAATCAATATTCAGTCATCATATTGGATGAAGCTCATGAGAGGAGCTTAAACACGTAATAGCAATTTCTCGTTGATTTTTATTATTCCAGCCCTTCACTGATTTGGTAGTGTAATAATTTTTTTTTGGATATTTTTGAATCTCCATTTCCTTTGTGGATGCGCAAGGATATTAAATTATTTTTGCCTTTGTAAACTTTTGTTTCAGGTGAGTAATGTTCTTTTGCAGATTTTTGTGTCGTGCACATTTCTTGTGGTTTTTCAGTTTCTGGTCTTGCTTATTCATTTCATTACTTCGTATATATGACATTTAATTTATAGAAGTATCTTTGCTCAGGGATATATTGCTGGGACTCATGAAACGGTTGATTAAATTACGTGCCTCCAATTTAAAGGTTTTGATAACTTCAGCTACTCTTGATGGCGAAAAAGTGTCAAGGTTCTTTTCTAATTGCCCAATCCTCAATATTCCAGGGAAGTTATTCCCTGTGGAAATATTACATAGCTCAGAAAGGCCCAAAAGTTATATTGAAGCTGCTTTAAAGACGGCCATTGGTATGTTTGGACCCTGCCCTTAATGTTATGTTATTTGCATGTTTAGAATTCCAACTCATTTTTTGTTAAAATGAGGTTTAGATGGCTTATTTTGCGTCTATGCACATATTCTTCTAGTGCTAGAATGATTTCTTAATTTAGGTTGTCCTTACATTTCTGTATCGGCAGATATACATGCTCGAGAACCAGAAGGCGATGTACTAATTTTTATGACAGGACAGGTATGTGTCTCTTAGTCAATCCTACTACTATCAACATAATTCATGTAATGGTACAAGTTGAGTATGCCTTTGTTGCAGGATGATATAGAGAAAATGATATCAAAATTGGAAGAGAGAATCCAAAACCTTGAGGAAGGATCTTGTCTGGATGCTATAATCCTTCCTCTTCATGGATCTTTGCCCCCTGAAATGCAGGCTAGTCTTGCATTACTTCAAATGTGGTTTCTATTTGTTCTTTATTCGTACAGAAAAGAGCATTTTGATTTTTTAATGCTATTTAGATGTTAATTGTTTTGCGTAATCCCTGATACTTTTCAAATGCCTTTTGTGCCATACAAGCCCATTGTATTCTTATCTTAATTCCTCTGCAAGAAACATCACCTGATCGGATGTATACTATTTTTCATTTCTAATTTATGTGAAATCACTTTCTTGGTAGCAATAGCACTTGCATATTTCATTTGCATGTTATATGTGGTATGCATTCATAGCTTTGGGGTGCTGTGCTTTTGCATTGGGTATGATGAGTTATAGATGATAATTAAGGTTTGTTTGAAGATTATGTCATCTTATTAGAAGTGCAATTGGTTATTATCAGAGGTGTCCATATCCTCCTTGATATCACCTTTTGTGTTGTAAATCTTATCTGACTTCATCGTTGATAGAGATCTTACTTGTTAGTTTTAGATGCTAATACTACTTTTTAGTTGCAAACACGTGTAAATGAGTTGTACACCATTTTTGAATAAACCAAAAGGCTTTTTGTGTTTGTTTCATACTTCAAACTTTTACTCCTGAATCACCAGAAATGAGTGATGGTTTGCCTTCTTCTTTCTTATTTTCTGCTTGATTTATTCCCTCTCTCTATCTTTTATGAAATATCCATTATGTCTGTTGCATATTTTATTCTTTGTTTGTATAGGTTTCATTTTAGATTTACGTTTCTCTGAACTGAATGCACTAGTCCATTGCAGCAGATGTTCACAACTTGTATTCATTTTGTCAGCTTTATTCTGTCTATTTAGCTTCACATTTTGGTAATTGTGCAGGTCCGTGTTTTTAGTCCTCCACCTCCCAACTGTCGGCGATTTATCGTTTCTACAAACATTGCCGAGACTTCTTTGACTGTTGATGGTGTGGTGTAAGAGATTCGATGCTCACAGAAATATCATTTCAATAAGTCATTTACATTTTGATTCTTTTTGGATTTAGTTATCTATCATTTTATCTGACTCATAAGTGTGTCATTATTGAAACATGACTCCCATTCCAAAGTCAAAAATAAGAATAAATTTTTTGCTTGAATAACCATTTCAGTATATTTTGATACGGTTTGACTGCAACTGGCAGGTATGTAATTGATTCTGGTTATGTGAAGCAACGGCAATACAACCCATCAACTGGCATGTACTCCCTTGACGTAGTTCAAATTAGCAAGTATGATTTTTGTCCTGTTTGTATATTCATTGAGAAAACTTTCCGTGTTGCTTGTATTTGTATCTATATTTGGATTTTTTGTATACTCAAGTTGATGATGTTAATCGCATCGTAATTAATGTGTACGATGGTTGCTCTGTAAATTGCCTTCTTGAGTCTGGCTGGATACCAGGAAGGCGCATTGCATATTCTATATTTAAGAGCATAGTTCGTGTTATTCCATGGTAGATTTATCTTATTTTATTTTTTTATTATTTTATAAATTGACTTGGAATCCTGTCCTAGCGTCCTAGTTTTAAGTTAATCATCAAGATTCTTAGCTATGTTTGGCTCATTTATAAAACATTCAAGCCACTTTTTATCCACAAATTTCAAGGGACCCATAAGTACTTGATAGGACTCTTGAACCCAAAGAAATATTGAACACGCAATAACAAAGAAAGAACTCAATGGTTTATTCCAAAAAACTGAAAGATAACAAATCCAGGGCTATTGGAAAGGCCCTGTCTCTCCCCCTTAACAGAATTTCAGTATGAAAACGTGCATGCCTTTCCCTCTCCCAACTCTCATATTTATTTACACTCCCTACTACCATACTATGACATTTTTGCCTCCTATCTAACTAACTTCTACTGACTTGGCCAACTCCTTATTTCTTCTAGAATAGGTGAACAGGATTGGGGGTCTATCATTACTCACCGCTCCGAAATCCAGCTTGTCCTCAAGTGGAAGCTAGGAAATTGTTGTCTGACTGTCTCGAACGGCTCCCATGTTGCCTCATAATCTGGTAGACTCTTCCATTTGATTAAGATTTCAGGCCCCCCAGCTTTGTTGGAAGAATTAGGGCGAACTCCAAGAACAGATTCTGGTTCCAGAATGAATTCTCATTCTGCCGAAAGTTGGGATGGAAGAGAAGAAACAGGTTGCAGGTCACCTTTGGCCTTGCGAAGCTGATAAACATGAAAAACCGGATGGATGGATGCAGTTGGTGGAAGCTTCAGTTTGTATGTGACCTGGCCGACTTTTGATTCCACTTCAAAAGGTCCATAGTACCTCGGGGACAATTTCTTAAAAGGACGCCTCGCCACAGACTGTTGGCGGTCAGGACGGAGCTTGAGATAAACTAAGTCCCCTGTAGCAAACTGAATGTCCCGACGATGTCCATCTGTCGACTCCTTCATTTTTAACTGAGCTCTGGAAAGCTGTACCTTAAGCTCCTTCAATACCTCATCCCGATCAATCAACAGCTTTTCGACGGCTGAGCTAGCTGTCAAACCCTTTTCAAAGGTCAGGATCTTGGGCGGCTCACGGCCATACACAATCTGAAAAGGGGTGTGTTTGGTTGCTGTATGGAAGGAAGTATTGTACCAGAACTCAGCCCAATGTAAGTATTGGCTCCATCCTCGCGGTCGACTGGAAGCAAAACACTGCAAATAGGTTTCCAAACTCCCGTTAACGACCTCCGTTTGCCCATCGGTTTGGGGATGGTAGGCAGTACTATGTTTGAGAACAGTTCCCTAGGCCTTGAACAGAGCAGTCTAAAAGATACTCATGAAAATCTGGTCTATATTGGAAACGATAGAATGAGGTATGCCATGTAACCGAACTACCTCTCGTATAAACACCTCTGCGACTAAGGGGGCGGTAAAGGGGTGCTTCAGCCCGATAAATGCCTGTATTTACTTAGGCGATCCACGACAACCAAAATCGTATCTATACCCCCCGAGCGCGGTAGCCCTTCAATAAAGTCCATTGAGATATCGTGCCAAACCAACTCAGGTATCGGCAGGGGTTGCAAAAGACCAGCCGGGGACAGCGCAAGGTACTTATTTTTCTGACATACTTTGCATTCCGCGATATAATCTTTCACCCTCTTCTTCATCCCCTGCCAAAAGACTTCTCTAGCCACACGCTTGTATGTCTTGAGAAACCTCGAATGTCCTCCAACCTTAGTATCATGGCACTCCTGTAACACAAGTGTCACCAAAGGCGAACGGCTGGGTAATACTAATTTCCTGCGGTAACACAAGATGCCATCTATTAACTCATATCCCTCTTTCACAGGAACTCCCCCTTGTAGGTCTTGCACTAGCTTTCCCAGCTTGACATCTGCAGCCACCTCCTTTTTGATCTCCTCAAGCTGAAGAACTGTAGGAGTAGTTAAGGCCAAGTAAAGCAATGTTGGTTGAATCCTGGAGAGTGCGTCGATTGCTTTGTTCTCCAACCCTGGGCCGTATTGGATGTCAAAATTGTAACCCATCAGCTTGGTAAGCCACTTCTGATGATCCTCACTCACCAATCTTTGCTCCAATAAGAACTTCAAGCTTCGCTGATCAGTCCGAACCACAAAATGTCTGCCCATCAAGTAGTGACGCCACTTCTGAATGGCGAATACAACAGCCATTAGCTCTCTTTCATACACGGACTTCTGCTTGGCACTCTGTGGTAGAACCTTGCTGAAGAAGGCAATGGGGGTGATTATCCTGCATCAGCACTGCCCTTAGGCCCTGATCGGAAGCATCAGTTTCAACGACAAACTGCTTTGAGAAATTGGGTAGCACCAGTACGGGCACCCTGGCATGGCTACTTTGAGGTCCTGAAATGCAGCCGCGGCAACCTCATTCCAACGGAACCCATCCTTCTTGAGCAACTCTGTTAAGGGCCAGGCGATCTTAGCATAACCTGACACAAAACGCCGGTAATACCCGGTGAACCCCATAAATCCCCGAAGGTCCTTTAAGTTGCGCGGGCTAGGCCAGTTAACCATGGCCTCAATTTTTGTCTGATCTACCGTCACCCCTTTATCAGAAATCACATGGCCCAGGTACTCCACTTTCGCTTGCCCAAACAAACACATCTTATTATTAGCGGACAGCTTATGCTCGCGCGAAACCTCAAGTACCATACGCAGATGTTGGAGGTGCTCCCCAAGTGATTGATTGTAGACCGAAATATCATCAAAAAACATAAGGACAAACTTTCTCAAGTAAGGTCTGAATACCTCATTCATGAAGTGTTGGAAGGTGGCCGGGGCATTTGATAGCCCAAATGGCATGACCAAGAATTCATAGTGACCCTCATGGGTGCGAAAAGCAGTTTTTGGGACATCTTCCGGTCTAACTCGAATTTGGCGGTAGCCCGACTTCAAATCCAGATTTGAGAATACCCGAGACCCCTATAATTCATCTAGCAGCTCGTCAATCATCGGTATCGAAAAAGGGTCAGGTACGGTTACCTTGTTGAGTGCCCAATAATCTACACAAAATCTCCAACTACCATCCTTCTTCTTTACCAACAACACCGGGCTTGAAAATGGACTTAGGCTAGGTTGGATAACCCCTGCAGCCAGCATGTCCTTAACAAGCCTCTCAATTTCGTTCTTCTGAGCATACGGTTATCGATACGGCCTAACGTTCACAGGGGTTGCCCCTTGTGGCAGGTTGATTGAATGGTCATGACCCCTCGAGGGTGGGAGCTCGTTGGGCCATTCAAAAACACTCAAGTAATCCTGCAACAATTAACCAATTGAGCTATGGACTTCAGTCATGATTTTCTTTGTTTCGACTCCCAAACTACCCAATTCCAGCAAGATGCCCTTCTCCCCCTCCTTAAATGACTTATCGAGTGACTTCAGGGACACCTGTGTTTTTTCCAAACTAGGGTCGTCCTGTAGCACGATCGCCTCCTAGCCAATTTTGAAACGCATAGTTAGTGTTCCCCAATTCACATGCATCCTTCCTAAGGTCTCCAACCATTTCATCCCCAAAATCACGTCGGTACATCCTAACTTAAGAGGCAAGAAATCTTCAACCACATCAATAGTCGACAAGGAGACAACCACGCCCTTGCAAATGCCTCTTCCCTTCACAGTCAACCCGATACCCATAAGAACCCCATAGCTGGCGGAGTCCATGATCTTCAGACCCGAACCCTCAACAAGCTCTCTTGAAATAAATTTGTGGGTAGCCCCGCAATCGATAAGAACTACCACTGATTTCCCATGGATCACACCTCGCAGCTTCATAGTCTTCGGAGCAGTCAGTCCCACCACAGACTTGATGGACAACTCCATTGTATCCTCTAGCGGCTGCTCCTTTCCTTCCTCAGCCGCCTCCACTACTTCCTCCAATTTATACTCCTGCACTAAAAGCACCTGCAGCTCTTTGTTCTTACACTTGTGACCCGGAAAAAACCTCTCATCACAGTGATAGCACAGCCCCTTGTCCTTCCTCGACTGCAACTCAACGTCGGTTAAGCACTTATAGGAAGGTGTCGCTTAGACCGATGTCGTCGGTTGCTGCATCGCGACGGTAGAAGCCCTAGGAACGTTCGTCTGACTTTGCTGGCTGAATTGTGGACTCAGTGCCGTCCCTTTTGAGTATAACCCAGTGTAATCTGGGCCATTTTTAGTTGTGGTGCTCGTAGAAAAAAATCTAGACCGAACTGGGCCTCCCAAACTTGGGCTCGTTTGAGAGACTCATTACTGTCCTCCGCCCTTTGGGCCAGCTCCATAAGTTGGCCCAATCCTTGTGGCCTAATCAACCTTACTTCTGCTCTGATAGTTGGGTGCAGACCATTTATGAAATTACCTTCTAACACCGCCTCTGGAATCCTCGTCAATGGAGCTGCTCTCGATTCAAACCACCGGCGGTAATCCCTCACCGTCCCTTCCTGTTTAAGTGCCAAAAATTTCTCCAACACACTTCCCTCTTGCATTGGCGAGGCTGTCGTCCGTTCTCCCATTGATACCGTGCGAGCGCCTCGCCCTCGAAACAGACCGCGGCGGCTTCAATCTTTTCCTAGTTTGTGAGTTGATTAATGTTGGAATACCTTTCCGCTCGAAAGACCCAGGCATTCGGCGCTTCTCCCGTAAAAATTGGCATATCCAATCGGCGGTCCCGAGTATCCCACCTCCCTCCTTCATCCCTAGTAAATTGTTCCCTATTACCCCCTCTCAGCTCTTGGGTTTTGTTTGGCACCTCAGAGCTAATTGTTGGCTCCATTGTACTATATGAAGTACTTTTTTCCTTTCTGTCCTTTTCTTGTTCGCCCCACTTCGACATCACCAAATCAAACTTCTCCATCAGCCCAGCCATGTCCCTCTACATCTCGGATTTCATTGATCTCATTTCTTCCTGCCAACCCTCAAACCTCAACTCTAGCTGCTCCACTTGATCGGTGATTGTCATGATTCCCAGAATTGTTGCTCTGATACCAAAATGATAGGACTCCTGAACCCAAAGAAATATTGAACACGTGATAACAAAGAAAGAACTCAATGGTTTATTCCAAACAACTAAAAGATAACAAATCCAGGGCTATTGGAGAGGCCCTGTCTCTCCCCCTTAACAGAATTTCAGTATGAAAACATGCATGCCTTTCCCTCTCTCAACTCTTATATTTATTTACACTCCCTCCTACCATGCTATGACATTTTTGCCCCCATCTAACTAACTTCTACTGACTTGGCCAACTCCTTATTTCTTCTAGAATAGGTGAATTGGGGGTCTATCAGTGCTACTCATCGATCACTCATTTTCGCTTATTTATAATTGAAACCATTTACAAACAAGCTTTTAGTGGATAGCAGATGTTGAGATTCATGTCGATCTAATCCCTGTTTGCATTTAGCAATGGACTAGTCTTGGAGGAGCAGTAAGGCTGCTCCATTGTGACCAGTTTGCAATTCTTCCTGATGCCTGTTTTTAGTCATCCCAACTTGGAAGGTGCTAGAAAAAGAATGAAACAAGACCCCAGCACCATGAAAATAGAACGCATGAATGGTTTGGGTGTAAGTGGAAAAACCATCCTTCCTCTCCCCATCCAATACAACTCAGAGTCAGAGGAAATGGCATCTCCTTCATCCAGGTGAACGATGTGAATTCATTCCCCTTCTCCTACTCCATCCCTGCCAAAACATACCAACTCAAGACAGAAGGACTTGCCACCCTTAATCAGGAAGGACATTATTATACGTTGATAAGCTACTTTGTCACACCTATATGACAAGTTTGTTTCTATAAAAGTATGACCACTGATTGATAAACTCTCTTTGTCGTTTTGCATGCTACTTACATTAACTGTTCTTAAAAGGATCTCTTAATTATTTCAGGGTACAGGCAAATCAGCGATCAGGACGAGCTGGAAGAACACGTCCTGGGAGGTGTTACCGTTTGTACCCTTCTATGGTTTACGAGGATGATTTCTTGGATGCTACGATCCCTGAAATACAGAGATCTTCTCTTGCTGGAACTGTCCTCTACTTAAAATCATTGGACCTCCCAGACATCAATATTCTCAAATTTGATTTTCTCGACCCTCCTTCCTGTAAGGAAGCATTTCGTTTTCTGCCTTCTATTCAATGTTCCTATATTCCTTTTAGGATTATAGTCTCTATATTGAATCGGAAGCCTGAATTGCCTTCTCTACAGCCGAGTCATTAGAAGATGCTTTGAAGCAGTTGTATCTCATTGACGCTATAAATGTTGATGGTTCAGTTACAAGTCTTGGACGAATCATGGCTGGTAATAGATTATCTTCTGAATCGTAACAGTAGAGTCTGTGTCCTTTCCGTCAATAAGGAATCTTGAAAGTAGAAATACAAAAAAGGAAGATATTAAGTCAACTTCCACATGCATTCACAAACACACTTTCAGTATAGCGTCAACAGAAACAGAAATGACCTGGGAAGGGGATTATTCCTTCCTTGGAGTTTAATTAAGAAGATGAGAGTGTTCTACCTTCTGCAGAACTTCCACTGGAACCTTCGCTTTCTAGGACCTTATTAGAGGCAAACGAGTGTGGCTGCTTATCTCAAGCTTTGACAGTTGCTGCTATGTTGTCTGCAGAAACTACAGTGCTTTCAGGTCGAAGGTAGACTTTAAGCATTTTCGTTTATTTTTCTTGTGGTATGTATATATCTGTGTAGTAATAAGTATAGCATTCGTATCTCTTATTTCATTTATGTCATAGTTCAACCAACCAACAAGTGTATCCAGGGTGTGCAGTATAGAGTATGCAGCACATTCTGTGTTCAAAAAGGAAGAAATGCAGTGTCTAATGTGATCATTTTTACTTAAAAAGTCTTATGTTAAATCAGAAAAATTTACAATACCTATTTCAGATTGAGTCAAATCATTATCTGGAAAATTTCATCTGGGATATTTCACAATGTTGATTGAGTTTCAATTTTGTTCGTTGACTCCTATTTATAGTTGGTGCTATCGAGTAATTATCATTGACTTGTGAATACCACATCTATTATTCCCGTAAAATAGAACCTTTAGTGTTTGTGAACTTTATAACCTGTGGCAGATTATCAGGGTCCAAGATTACTTATTAACTCATTTTGAATCTCCACTCCACTGGGCTTTTGTTGCTTCAAAATTGTTGACCATTTAAGTAAATTAATGATCCTTTGTAAGTCCACTACTTTTTCATGAAGATCATGATAGCCTCTTTTTGTCTTGTAGCAAGAGCACCGAAAAGAAGAGGAAGAACCCTCCGTCAGACCTTCCTGATGGTTCTGGCTGGGGCGACCACATCCAATTGCTGCAAATCTTTGAGATCTGGCATCAAACTGACTACAATATAGATTGGTGCAAAGATAACAATTTGCAGGTATATTTCAAAGTTACATAATTAGGATATTTTCGATAGCAGCCAACCACAGAGTACTTTTTTGAGACTAGTTTTTGTTAAAAGTGATAAAGTTATGTTTTTATGAATGGTCCCAAAGTGAACATGCATAATAATTGATAAAGATTTGTACACGTAAAAGGAAGAAATTAACGATTCTTAGACCCTCTTTGTACAGATTTTGTAAAACTCCCTAAATTCATTTTCAATCACACGTTCTCCTAATAAAATAATTTTGCCCGCGGATCCATTACTTTTCCTATTTTTTAACCTCACATTCTTCAAAAAAATCATTTTTCAAAAAATCTATTCTCAAATATTCTATATCAAATGTGCCCTTAGATTCTCATATTATATGTGGTTGTCATGCAATGATGTTGAGAAATTGTATTCTTTGTTGAATTTGCTGATTGTAGGTGCGGGGGATGATGTTTGTCAAAGATGTCAGGAAACAATTGTCTCAAATAATGCAGAAGATTGCTAAAGGTTAGTATTTCATATGAATATTGTTGAGCAGTTCTTTTTTAAATTTTCCATCCCAAAGGTTTTCACTGTTTTCTACCAACTTCAATTTCACATTTTAGGTTATTTAAACTTTTACCTTTCTTACTTGGCTGCAAGCACACCCCACCTCACGTGAATAAATTCTCTCTCACATTTTTACTGTCCTGGTTAATCCTCTATCCTAATATGAGCCATGTGTTAGGATCCCTGGATGTCAAGACAAGTAAGAGACGAAAAGAAGGTCAAGATTATAGGGCTTTGAGAAAAGCTCTTTGTTCGGGGTATGCAAATCAGCTTGCAGAGCGAATGATTCGCCATAATGGCTACCGAACTCTAGGTTTCAAGTCACAAGTAGTTCAGGTAGATAATTATCAATAATTGAATTTCTTCTACTTTTACCTTGCTACTGGTTTGTTTGTTTACTTTCATTTCAGTATTATAGAGGCCGGAACGCTAAAATTAAATTACTTTTTCTTCCAATATACTCACATGATGAATGCATTTTAGGTCCATCCGTCGTCAGTATTGAAAACAGACGAAGAGGGAATGCTCCCAAATTATGTTGTATATCATGAACTTATTGCTACTACACGGCCATATATGCGCAATGTGTGCGCGGTTGAGATGGCATGGGTCACGCCAATCCTAACAAAGCTTGATAATTTGAATGTCAGTAAACTCAGGTAAGAACAATTGTCTCAGAAATTGATGACCATAGTTGATGATTTTCCTCATTTTTGGTTTGTTCTTTTCTCGTGTTCTATTGTTTTACATGTGAAGCAGTGGTGGAACCAGCAAGTCTCATGAACAGACACAAGTAGAAAACTCACACTTGCCAAATGAAGATTCATTTACCACTCAACCTCCTGATGATCACAACGAGAGGATACTAGCTGCTCGGGAGCGTTATCTTTCTCGTAAAGCCAAGAAATAGAACTATTAGTCAAATTGGTTGTTCCTTTGATGCTCTCTCGTTCCACAAAAAGACACTGTTCAGAATTCCTTCACAATGACGGGAATGGGCAAGTTGTTACAGGTGATAACGAGGCCCGTGTTTGCAGCATTTGAAAAGCCTGGAAGTCAAGTACCACTACCCAATAGCTTAGGACCGCACATGCATGAAGACTGCAAATTACAGGCTTGCATCACATCAAACTGCTTTATTACTGCGACCATACAATTAACATAGTACGTTGTTAATATTAAGAACCTAATTGCCTTTAGATCGAGCAGATGGTCGGAAAAAGATTTATAGTTTAGTTTGTTCTTGTTTCTACCCGCAACTCTTCTCTTGGTTGCATTTTACTAGCAGGCTCGTGTAGTGGAGTTAAAAAAGACGAGAATTGAGAATTGACTCAACGAGGTGGTGGAAGCTAAGAAAGCATGTATCATAAAGTGGCGGAGTGGAGGGTGTAAGTCATTATGCACACCAACAATGTACTGGTAGAATTATCCTTCATTTTATCATTTAATTGGAGCGGTATATGATATTTGGTATAGATTCGTGAAATGTCAATTTTATTAAGAATTATAATGAGCAATTCAAGCATCTGTATGTTAGTAATTTTATATATTTAATCAATGTGAGTTCAATCCTTTAACAACATAATAGAGAAAGGTAGGAATGGGAATGATGCGAGATGAGCCGGCTTTGTTCGTGTGCACAAATTGGTCTCGGCTTGGCCTTTGTTTGCGGTTTCATAGGCTTATTCGAGTCCACGAGTCGGTTAGTTTAAAAAATTATTAAATCAAATCCAAAGACAAGCAAAAAAAAAAAAGGTTAATCCATGGCTTGTTTTTCAATACAAGTCCAAGTCGGAGTCGGAGCAACTCATGACGGAAACAAAATGAGTCGAAGAGAGAGGGAGCAATAAAAAATGAGAAAGTTGAGGTCATTATAATAATGTTAAATCTAATTGTGGTCCACTGAGTTTTTGGTTGTTCCTTTTGTGAAATTATCGGTCATTCTCAGATGCCAAAAACCATGTGATAAACGCGTCCTCAATGAAAAAGTGGGAGTTTTCATATTCTCTTCTCTGGCCACACATTCTTCATCCCTGGGAAATAAAGATAATAAATGCTTACCACATTTTTATACCCTTTTTAAGTTGACTACAACCATCACAATCACAATCACAATCACATTAAATTAAACTATATTGTAAAATAATTTTAGGTCATTAATCATGTAAATTAGAGCTATTTCTGCTTCCTACGTAAACGTAGTAAAAATGACAATAATATACTTTTCTTCTCCAAAGCAATCTTCGTCTTCTTTAATGTCCAATGTTTAACAATAAACTGATCAAGACCATTTTTTTTTCCAGAATTTTTCCTATGATTTTACGTAGGTTTCAGTTGTTGTTTAGAGTTGAAATCTACTATCCAAAATTTGCCGTCCCCCAATGAATAATTTGTTGACAATTATATTAAGTTGCAACTTTTAAAAATTATTACATTTTAATTTAAGATCTGATTTAATTAAAATCTTAATTTATAATATAACATATACTTCAATATTTGAATAGAGGTCATGAATTAATTAATTCTACATTATTGTGGAGATTGGTTTTTCCCTGTAAAAGGGATAGTGGTTTTATTGTTAGACGCATCATAAAAAGATACAACTTGAAAAATATAAAAATACTCCCTATATATTTCATACTATATTTCTATAATTTTAACAATTCAATGAGAGGTTTGTTCTTTATCTCTCTATGATTGTGTCCGTAGAAAAAGAATCGATGGTGAGCTTCATGAGTTTTATTTTGGAGTTGTGTAGTATCGAAAGTATCTGCACAAAGGAAAAGCAACACGACTTTAAGACATTATATTTGGCGTGACTCTGTAAGGCTTGCATTCTAAATCTCTTCTCAACTTTATGTTATCGTATTGTTGAATTGAATTTTATATGTTATTATGTTAATTGATACAAATCTCCAATTTTTTCCCAACAATTTAAAGTCTTGTTAGCGTGATTTGTGTGTAGAAGTTACATGAATTGTCCAACAGTTGACTTTAACAGCGGTTTTTCAATTTCACTCCAACGTGCAAAAAAGTTAACACCAGCCAGAAGTCCATTAAAGATATATAATTATTATTAATTATTGTGGTATTTCTAGAGTAATTAATATGTTCTAACGAGGATTTTTGCAAACCTGTGGTCTTCTTGGCTATTTGTTGGTATCTTTCCTTTTGAATTACAGTATTAATTTGGTGAGATTAATGCTAGACTTGAGGATTCTACGCTATATCTGTTGTAATGCATTCATATTCTAAAACTTTGGAGGAGCGCTGAGCTTTAAACCTTATCTAAAATTCAAATTAAGGGCTTGTTTGGGCCCGATTTTTTCACTAAAGAAATTGATTTTTTTACCGTTATTTCACTATTCCAGCCATCATATTCGACTTCTCCTCTCCCATGTGGACCCCACTTTTCTTCTAACGGTCAAAAAATCAATTTTCAAAATCACTCCCAGACAGACTCTAAATGTCAGATATATTGAATTCTGTCCAAGTTTGTCTTATTATAAATCGAATCTTTTGGTGAATGTGAGGATAATAATGAAGACCTTTATATTTTCTACAGTTGCATAAATCTCTATTATTAGTGGTCCTGAAATAGTAAGAAATGAGCTAACAGTTTGACTGAATTCATTGTAGTTTAATTTTTTATGAGCAGATTGTTTAGTGAACTCTGTGCCATAAATTTTGCTTAATAATAACTAGAATTGGTGTAGATGTTGTTGTAACATATATATTCGTAAGTTTTAAATTTCAAGATTAATAATATTTTTTTTTTGAATTTTCGGATTTATTTTCAATTTCAGATTTAATATAAAATTAAAAAAAATATCATTATATTAGATGTAACCTCTTTTCAATGAATTACTTTTCATTATCGTGGAGGTTGAGCTTTTACACTATAAAAGAGATATGAAATTATTATTATTATTATTATTATTATTATTATTATTTTACGTTTAATAAAAGAGAAAATTGACAACAGTATTTTGCTAGTTTGTGGCCATGTAGGACATTTTGGCGGGGGGAAGTGCATTTGTATGTAGAACATTTTGGCATGAGAAGGTGCAGGTGTTTCTTTTAAGTTCCGCAAGCAGAATATCTTTGAAATGTGTGGGTGTTTAAAGTTTTGAATAAAAACATCTTATATGTTGTTACTCTTTTTAAACTGGCTCTTAAAATGTGTTAAAAAGTTAAATTGTAGATTTGCAGGTGAAATGCAAGAGTTCAATGGATGCATATGCCCAAATGTTTTATCAAAGTCAATATTAAAAATTCCATGTATTTATTTGATTATATTTTGAAAATTTCTTAAAAGATTTTGCAAACATATAGAAGTGCACGCAAGGAATAAGAGTTTTGCAAATTGATGGTACCAAATTATTGTTCAAAAGGGACATAAAATAAATTACAGTCCATAATGGACATAATAAGTCATCGATGGGAACGGTTTAAGCTTTAGGGGAGTCACACTCGGGAGTAATCTAATCTTTGTGATTAGAGATCTCATGAAAAAGGTTCAATGTGGTAGAGACAACTCACACCGCATGACTTGTAATAACACTATTTTATTTGTGCTCATTCCTATGGTGATATAGTACTAATAATAATATGATGTGAGGAAGGGTTTAAATCTGAATAAGTATCGAGACGAGAATTCTCGTGAGAGACCCATTTTTGGAGGACTCACATATGTGAGAGTTGTCATGAGGCCATGATTATGAGATTTGGCTATTCCCTAGAGACTTCTATTAGAATCAATACTGGCGCGCATAGCCATCAAAAACGTTGTCTGCCATGAACTAGAGTATAAATCGATACTGTGTGCGGAACAATTGAAGTTTAGCCAAATGGACCTAATTCAAGGCCTAATCAATTATGACTCTTTCAAATAGAAATTGTTATCACTAAGTGAGGTTCAAGTCCAAAAAGATAACTATACATATTACATAGTATAACGTTGCCGGTATATAATGTATATTTCTTTATTTTGAAAGATTAAAACTTGTGGGGATTGTTGGGAATTATATTAAGTTTCAATTTTCAAAATTATTACAGCTTATTTTTCAATTTTGTTTTAATTAAAATCTTAATTTATAATATGACATATACTTAAATATTTGATTGAAGGTTATGAATTATTTAATTTTACATTATTGTGGCGGTTGGTTTTTCCCTATAAAAGGGATGATGATTTCATTGTTAGATGCATAACAAAAAGATACAACTTGAAAACATAGAAATGCTCCATTTATATTTCATAGCCCCTATTTGTTTTCCATTCTTTCCCTATTAAAATGAAAAATATAACCATTATCCATCACATCAAGCCACCAAATTCGAATTTCTATTTCTTGTGTGGGGTCTATAACGACTATATTTTTCATTCTCATTTTTACAAAAATGGGAAATAAACGCCCTTATACTATATTTCTATAGGTTAGCAATTCGATAAGAGGTTCGTTCTTTATCTTCCTAAGGCCGTGTCCATAAAATGAGAATCAACTGTAAGTTACATGGGTTTTACTTTGGAGCTGTGTAATGTCGAAAATACTTGCATGAATGAGATGCAATACGATTTTAGGACTACTTTAACCTAACTGTCTACAGCTTGCATTCTAAATCTTTTCTCAACTTTATGTTTATTGAATTGTATTTGTTATTTTATTATATCAATTGATAGTTTATTTACATACAAATTTCCATTTTTTCCAACATGATTAACACATCATTTTACATTAAAATTTCATCTAATTTTAAATACAAGGGCAATAAGAGAAAAGTTGAAGATGTTAATTTAGAATAATATGTCAATCATTCATTGGGAGGATAGTAAATTGGACATCGTAATAAAAATTTTCCCTCAACATTTAAGTTCCATTCAAAATTAGTCATTTTTTAAAGTATCATTTTACCATTGGTTGACAGAATAGAACTACACGCTCTACTAATATTGTTCCTGTCAACAAAGAATAATAGCAAGTTAATTTTCAACCTCTCATTACAATTATATAATACGTCCTTAAAGAAAAATCTTCCAAGAATAATAGCAAGTGCAATTGATCGAGTCCTAATTGACTCGAAAATTGGTAGAAAAGGTGGCAGGAAAATAAACTTTTTTTTTTTTTTTTGGTTCCATTTATTATTATTATTATTCTTATACATTTTTTTTTAGGAAGAGAAAACGTGAATTAACTTTGAGTACTACTATTTCCATCCACATTTTTTATAAGTCCATCTCACTCTATGTTCATTCATAATAAAATTTTAAAAATTTAAAAAAAAAATACTATTTACATCCACGTCATATTTCAATCTTGTCCTTATTAAATTCATTAATTTAAATACTATATATCCACATGAATTTTATATATTCATCCCACTTTAAATACATCCTATCACTATAGATTCGCACATTCCCTAAAACCATAAACTCTTAAACCAAATTAATGAAATAAGAACAAAACATTGAATATTAAATTAACATGAAATAAATTCTTTATCTATTGAAGTT